ATGGTCTCCTAAGGGTGATACCTGAGGGTTGAGCACCAGATCTTGAAAGAAGAGTAGAAGTTACCAGGTGAAGAGGAAGGAAGAGAATGTTCGATATTATGGAGACAGCATAAGCAAAGTTAACAGAGGTGAAGATCAACATTGTACAGGAAGGTGAAAATTATTTAGTGTTGATGGATTATGAATTGCTTGACGATGCCTCTGAATTCCAGAAATGTGGGCATATTCCTTTCAGCCCCTGAACATGATCTTCTTAAAAATTCAGAAGTTCTCAATTCTTGGATTCAGAATGTAGAGATACCTGTTATATAAGTGCGGTGTAGCCACCATGGGATATGTACACATACACAGCTGAACATGGGTGTGTGTGTGTGTGTGTGTGTGTGTGTGTGTGTAGGTGTGCTTGTGCTCTGTCATCTCTGAGTGATTTATGTTGGGTTTTACTAGGAAGCCAGTTTCTTCCTCTTAGCAGTTTCAGTTTGACCTCTGCCATGGGTATATTAGATTAGTGTATAATCTAATATGCATGTACATATTATACACACAAAATATACACTAATGTGGTTTATTAGGTTACACTCTGCTGCGCTTCTCTATGAACTCTCAGTATAATTTTCTATGAAAACAGCTGTCATGTTCTATGAAAATCCTTGTGCTCAGACTGGTACCACAAAGGGGACTTTTCTTAGCCATGAGCTAGGTTTGCCTGTTCCTGAATTCTCTGAGAAGGTGTTCCTGCCAAGGCCTGGGACGGAATTGAGACATAACCCCCTCATTTAAGGCATACAGGGAATTCCAACTCAATATTAAAACTTTGTTGCTAAGGTTAACATGGGTTTTCCTAACTAGATTGTTCACAAAAGGGGATAGATAAATCACCTGTGTGTTCTCAATCTCCTCTCAGAATCAGACTGGAGGACATGGGCATTGCTCCGTTAGTGTTTGTGGTGTTTTTTATAATGTCCATGAACAGCATCATGTGACTTGCTCACTGTTGAGTTTAGCTTCTTTTAGAATAACAGCAAACTTTTTCTCCCATGAAAATATCTATAAAATGATGATTTAAAATTATTGACATGGCCTCTGTCATGGTCATTTTCCTTGGGAAGGTGGATTCTAGTGTATGGACTGTGCTCAGATCCTGCAGCATGGTCTATTGAATATTCTCAATTAATTTCATCCTTTTGGGGTGAATTCCACTGTGGAAATCTCATCTAATGTCCTGTGAAAAAAGCACAGCTATCATTTGAATTTAGACAGAGGTGTCACTAAGAAGTAATAAGAAGCATTCCCAGTTTGCCCTGCAAAAATAGTTCTGCATGTATTTTAGAAAGGAGTTCCAGAAAAAAGTGTTTTTTTAAATTTATTTTTTTAAATTTTTTCTTTCTAGATATGTATGACAGTAGGGTATAATTTGACATATAATACATACATAGAATAAATATAATTTGTTTCAGTTAGGACCCCATTATTTTGGTGTATTTTTTAAAGCATAATTAAATCACTTTTTAATTCATTCATCTTCTCATTTGTTCATCAGATGTTATCAAGAGAAGATTATCATAATGCAGTTACCATATTAGATACTGGGAATAGAAAAAAGAAAGAGATGAAGTTGGCTCTAGCCTTTAATGAGTCCTTAGTCCACTTCCTGTGATGAATTTAGATATAGAAAAATACATAAAATATAGTATGATCAGTGTAATGTGCTATAAGTGCTATGATAAGTACTATATTATTATATCATATGTCACATATTATTCAATAGTGACTAGCTCCTGATCTGATCTGTTAGAGGGCTTGATAGAGAAAATAAGGCTACCCTCCCATGCTGACATCCTGCAGAACTGGACTCTGTTGGAAACATCTAAGTTCTGAATTTAAAAAATACAGAATCATGACTTCATAGTTGTATTTACAGTGACATAAACTGCACTGGATATTTGAATTTTGAATGATATATTGATGGAAAGAAAGATTTCTGGATAAACTAGAATAGACAATTGTACGCTTCTTTTAGAAATAGTAAACTGCTAGTCTTTCTAGTGTTTTGAACATGAAATGGTGCTGTATTTTGTTGAATGTTTTTTCTGCATCTATTGAGATGATCATATGAGTCTTATCTTTAAATCTATTGATGTGATGAATTACATTTATTGATTTCTGTATTTGAACCAACCTTGCATCCCTGGGATGTACCCCACTTGATCATGGTGCACTATCTTTTGGGTATGTTTTTGTGTTTCATTTGCCAGAATTTTATTGACAATTTTTGCATCTATTTTCATTAGCCATATTGGTCTTAAGTTTTCTTTCTTTGACGTGTCTTTGTTTGGTTTTGGAATCAGGATAATATTGGCCTCATAGAATGAGTTTGGAAGTGCTCCCTCTTTTTCTATTTCCTAAAGTAAATTGAAGTGTACTGGTATTAGTTCTTCTTTGAAGGTCTTGTAGAACTCGTCTGTGTATCCATCTGGTCCTGGGCTTTTCTTGGTTGGTAGGCTTCTGAAGGTGTCTTCTATTTCATTGCTTGAAATTGGTTTGTTTAATTTGTGTACATCATCCTGATTTAGTTTGGGCAAATCATATGACTCTAGAAATTTGTCCATTCCTTGGATATTTTTTATTTTATTAGAGTACAAATTTTCAAAATAATTTCTAATTATCTTCTGTATTTCTGTAGTGTCCATAGTGATATTTCCTTTTTCATCATGGATGTTAGAAATTTGAGTTTTCTCTCTTCTTCTCTTTGTTAGCATGGCTAAGGGCTTATCAATTTTATTTATTTTTTCAAAGAACCAACTTTTTGTTTTGTCAATTTTTTCAATTGTTTCAATTTCCTTGATTTTTAGCTCTGATTTTAATTATTTCCTGTCTTCTACTGCTTTGGGTGTTGATTTGTTCTTTTTCTAGGGTTTTGAGATGTATTGTTAGGTCATTTATTTGTTGACTTTTTCTTCTTTTAAGGAATAAACTCCCTGCGATGAACTTTTCTCTTAGTACTACCTTCATAGTGTCCCAGAGATTTCAATATGTTGTATCAGTGTTCTCAATTACCTCTAAGAATTTTTTAATCTCCTCTTTGATGTCTTTTGCAACCCATTGTTCATTCAATAGCATATTATTTAATCTCCAGGTGTTGGAGTAGCTTCTATTTTTTATTTTATCATTGATTTCTAACTTCATTCCATTATGATCTGATAGAATGTAGGGTAGTATCTCTACTTTTTTATATTTGCTAAGAGTTGCTTTGTGGCATAATATATGGTGTGCTGCTGAGAATAAAGTATATTCACTGATTGATGGATGAAATATTCTACATATGTCTGTCAAGTTAAGTTATTTATTATATTATTGAGTTCTATAGTTTCTTTGTTTAGCTTTTGTTTGGAAGATCTACCCAGAGGTGAAAGTGGTGTTTTAACGTCACCCAGAATTCTTGTGTTTTGGTCCATTTGACTCTTGAACTTGGGAAGAGTTTGTTTGATGAATGTAAATGCTCCATTTTGGGGGGCATATATATTTGTAATTGTTATGTCATATTGATATATGGTTCCCTTGAACACTATGAAATGTCTTTCTTTATCCTTTTTGATTAACTTTGGCTTGAAGTCTACTTTATTTGATATGAGGATGGAAACCCCTGCTTGTTTCCACAGTCCATGTGAGTGGTATGTTTTTTCCCAAACTTTCACCTTCAGTCTGTGGATGTCATTTCCTATGAGATGAGTCTCTTATTTTTCTAAGGCAATGATGAGCATGATAATGCTTTTCAGATAGTTCAAATGAGGGTTGCAATTGTTGTTATTGTTTCTACTGGTACCTTTTAATGCTTCAATTCAGCTACCAAAGGTTATCAAAATGATAAATAGTAGTCCTTGAAGCCTTATTTTCCTCTTGTAGCAAAAAAAACTCACCAACTGAGACTAAAGGAAAGAAACAGAAATTACCAAAAACTATATTTTATTGTATAGTTTTAGGGTTCTTTATTACTTTTGGGGTAAATTGGAGAAGTGACAAACCATTTGCCAAGTTTTTTTTTAAGAGTTAATTAAAAACAATTATAAATACACCTTTACTTCTTGTTTTTTTTTTTTGTTTTTTTTTTTTGAGAGAGAGAGAGAGAGAGCGAATTTTTCTTAATATTTATTTTTTAGTTTTCGGTGGACACAACATCTTTGTATATGGTGCTGAGGATCGAACCCGGGCTGCATGCATGCCAGGCGAGCGCGCTACCATTTGAGCCACATCCCCAGCCCTACTTCTTGTGTTTTAAAGAAAAAACATTTTTTTTTCTTTGACATTACTGGGGATTGAATACAGAACCTAGAAAATGCTAAGAAAGTGGCCTACTACTGAATTACATCCCAGCCATTTAATTTTTTTTTTTTTTTATTTTGAAATAGGAACTCACTAAGGTACTCAGACTAGCTTTGAACTTGGATCCTCCTGGCTCAGCCTCCAGAGTTGCTGGGATAACAGGCCTGAGTCACCATGCCTTTCTTCTGCACTTTATTTCTCTTGCCCTTCTTTTTATTGTTTTAGTTCTTTCTACATGATTTTCTTGTGTCATTCCAACCTAAGATAAAATGTAACAAAATTCACAGTTTAATCAATGACCATAACATTTTGGAGGTGAAATTGCCTTCCAGCCAATACCAGAATTATTTGCAGCTAGTGTTAGGTCCAGAGAGGATTAAAAGAGACACACAAAGCCTAGATGCTTCTTAAAGAAAGGACAGTCTAACTAGAGAGTCTAGAATTAATGGGGGGCTCCGCAATCTAATGATACTGCCAGGGTCATGCTTTAAGCTTGCAATATACCTGAGGCTGTCTCATGCAGAAGCTCTTAGGCTATCAAAATGCTGAGAAAGCTTTCCAGGCTGCAAGAATTGAGTGCAGTATTCATTTATTAACTATGAACTATGGACCTAACCTTTGCCAGGTGCTGAGTTAAATTCTCACCCACGTGGAACTCGAATCCAGTAAATCTAAGGAATAATTATGTAAAGTGTGGTTTATGCTTCTTGTGGGTGAGGCATCATGTCTTAACACTCAGTTTTGGAACGATCTTTAGGGAGACGGCTGTAGGAGAAGGTAAGAATAATAATCCTGAAGTTCGAAAACCAGACCCAATTCATCGTGATGATGGGATCGACTCTGGAACTCTCCCAGGATGGGACAGCTAAGTTCACATGCCATACCATGTGTGACCACAGTCACCTCCTGACGTGTTATCACATTTCAGGGCCTATACTCTGGCCCACAGGGTAAGTGTGGATAATGACGTGTATTCATGTATATTTTCCTGACTGCTGTTTTGGCCATTGTTTATATACATGCTGCATGGGGGAAATATGCCTGACAAGAAAGTCAACTAAACACTGTTAATATTAATAATGACCTTCAGGCTTGAAGCCTGATATCCAATGGGAGATATGAGTTGTGAAGGGTTAACCAAGTGAGTTTTCAAGAGGGACAGTCTCCTCTAATGTGTTCTTAGGTAAGTAGAGTGGTCTTCCCACAAACTCCCGACGCATGCAAATCTAGCATTCTTTGCCAGCCTTGAACAACAGCCACTCTAAGAGGATTACATCCCATTGCACGCTTGTGCGGGGGAGAAGTCACAGTTGCATGGGTTGGCCTGCAGCCATTTTCTGGGTTGAGTCCTATGATTGACATGAACAAATAGTTCCTCTAATGGCAACACAATTAGGTACCATGGCTGCTGTGTGTGGGACACGCGGCCCAGAGTCTGACGGAGGTGTTCAGGAGGCTGGGACTGGTGAGGCTGCTTTTGCAAGGTGTTCCTCCTTGGCTCCTGTTAAACCTCTTCTTTACAGTCTGTCAGGAAGATAAGCTTGATATTGAGAAAGACTTCACTGAGTCCCACTCAAGCAACGAGGTGGTAATTTAACACTCTGGCAACCAGCTTTGGACTCCTTAACTGAAGGATGTTTGGTAAATCTCAAGAGACGGAAAGAAGCCCAGAATACTCTCAAAGTCAGTCTGTAACTGAACTCTGCTTGTAGCAAATCTAGAAGAAAGAACCAAGTTGCTAAATTGGTTTTCTCCTGCCAAACACTCCTCAGGCATTCAAGATAGAAAAGTAAAAACAGGAGTGAGGGCCTGTGGAAGGCTTAAGAGTTGGTCCTAGGGGGATGTCAGGGTATTGCTTAAAAGGATTTTGTTGCAATTTTCCACTATTGTTTTATTTTTCTTCTAAAGGCAGATCCAACATTTGAATCCCTTCTTGGTCATGCAAGACACCCATTCTTCCTGTGGAATCTTGCTCATGGTCAAAGGGGAAACGAATGATCACCAGGTGACTTTCCTTTAGAGTTTACCTTTATCTTCTGCATGTTTGACCTCTGACAACTACCTTTCCTAATTTAATAAACATACAGAATTACTTTGTCTAAGAATGACCTTGGGGTCAGAGTTTGTTTTCTTTAATAAGATTACAAAACTTCTGGACTAGGGCTGTAGCTCAGTGGTAGAGCACTTGCCTTGCATGTGTGAGGCACTGGGTTTGATCCTCAGCACCACATAAAAATAAAATAAAGATATTATGTCCATCTATAACTAAAAAAAAAATTTTAATTACAAAACTTCTTAAAGTTGAGAGAGAATTTCCTTCATGTGATAAAAAGTTCCTGAAAGGTGTTCAATTTTTTAATGCAATGACTTGAGCATAATATTTTCATCTTTATTAAAGTACTAGTGTATAATTTTAACTATTCTTCATTTGACAGTTGATAGCCATAGGAAATATTAGAGTATGTGCTAGTCTCAGTTCCCCTTAAAGATGGGAGAATTTATTTTAAAATATTCTGGTATTATTTTTAAATTTTGTTTTACCCCAGATATCCAAATATAGCTGTATATTTTAAATTATATACAAAAGGGCAATATCAAAACAGCTCCTCAAATTTGTTTTATTAGAATGGCATATGAATTCCAAATATATGTATAAAAGCCACACTTGCAATAACAGCTGATTTAGAGGTGATTTTTTTAAAAATGTGTGTGGTATAGTAGAATTCTTTGCTTTATAAAATAGCTTTCTACAGAGTTGATTTAAGTAGCATTCCCACCCATTTTGTTTAACAGAGGATTACGAATACAAAAAATTCCTAAGGACTTTGACGCACATTTAGCTTCTTAAGGACATTTCTATGGAGTGAAGTAAGGCATTTTTATGGTTGTCTTCCATTCACTTGTTTATTTTTAAGGTATTCTTTATGTGCTGGAGTTTGGACCTAATGCTAAGCATGCTATTATAAGCACACTACCTTGTTCTTTGAGATTTGGGGGAAAAGATGAAATGTTGGCTGAATTCACTGTTTAGCAGGCTAAGGATAAGGTAAATGATGCCCAGTTTGGGGGAGCGCATGGGGTGGCATCTAAATCAAACTGGGGAGAAGCATAGGCTTCTTAAAAGCATTGGGAGATTCATTTTGAAGGATGAGCATCAGTTAACAGTTGAAAAAGGAGAAAGAAAATTCTAGTTGTAGAGAACAGCATGTAGAAACCCTCCTTGGGATGTGACACATCAAAGGCTGTGTGCAGTGGCCCATGTCTGTTATCTCAGCTACTTGGGAGGCTGAGGCAGGAGGATTGCGAAGTTCAAGGTTAGCCTCAGCAACTTAGTGAGACCCTGTCTCAAAATTTTAAAACAAAACAAACAAACAACAACAACAACAACAACAAAAAACTTAAAAAAAGATTGGGAGTGTAGCTCAGTGTTAGAGCATCCCTGGCAGCCCCCAATACCAAAATAAACAAACAAATAAAAAAAACCAAAAAACATCATGACATCAAGACACACTTTTGGGGACCTTCATGTATGATTGAGAAGGTGAACTTGGAAAAGTGATGGAAGATAATCTCTCTTGGTTTAATACCTATTGACTGGTTATGCTTTCTCCATTTCCTTAGCCATTTCCTATTTTTTTACCTAAATTCTTTAGAGTTTACAAAGACTGTGTCATTGAGCTTCTCCTCTGTCTGTTCTCATGCCACAGTGATTTCATTCAGTCTTTTGACTTTGCACCTGTAAGGACCCAGCATTCCTCCCCTCTGGAGGGTCGGCAACAAGGCACCACTTTGGAAGAAGAAAGCAACTCTCACCAGACAATTGAAACTCGCAGTGCTCTGATCTTGGATTTCCCAGCCTCCATATCCATGAGAAAATAAATTTGTTTTATAAATTACCCAGTCTCAGGTGTTTTGGTATAGCAGTACAAAATGAACTACCATAGAAATTGGAATAAGACAGCTCTCGGTTGATGGATAAGCCAATAGCTCCCAAATGTAGATATTCCAATATAAATATTATCTTTTCAACACTTCTATTTGGGTACGTAGAGGAGACTCAAAGTGTCCAAAATGATTCTGTTTACTTCCCCTGTTAGCTTGCTCCATCTACAGCTTTCCCCATTTCAGTGGATAGCCACTCCCTTCTTCCAGTTGCTCAAGCCAGAATACTATGAGCTGTTATACTTTATTGAGGTGAAATTTACAAAACATGAAACTTATCATTTAACTATTTAAAAGTATACAATTAAGTGGCTTTTAGTCCACTTTTAATGGTACCAGCACCAATGCTATTCCAGAATATTTTTATTATCCTCCAAAGCATTCCCTTAACTGTGAGCCATGGGGCCCCCATCCCTTCATCTCCCCAGCCCCTTCAGGAGGCATTAGTTGACTTTCTGTAGCTATGCCCTATTCTGGACATTTCATATACATAGAATTATATAACAGATGGCTTTTTGTGTCTGGCTTCTCTCACTTAGCAAAGTGTCTTCAACTTTTATCCATATGATAAATGGGGCGTGTGTAACTACCCTCTTGCCCACCTCAGGTGCAATCTGTTGGGAAATCCTATGGAATACCCTGGAATGTAATTCCTTCTCAGTCTCCACTGTTGCTACCAGGGTGTGAGCACTCTCACATCTGCCTCATGACTGCAGCCTGCCCCGTTGGTCTCCCTGCCGTTAGTCTTGGCTCCCCACAGCGGGTTCCCAACACAGTACTCTTTTAGAAGCCTGTCAGAATAGGCTACTCCCCAGCTCAGGCTCTGAGGTGGCTCCCCATTTCACTCAGAGTCAAAGCCAGAGTCTCTACTGTGTCACACAAGGCCTTTGGGATCCTCATGACTTTCCAAAGGGCTGATGAGGTAGCACTTCCAATGCAGACTGACCTACTCTCCTCCTTGCCTGCTGAGCCACACAGCCTTCTTGCTATTCCTCCAATGTTGCAGTGGCCTGTCACAAGGATGTTGCACTTACTCTTTCCTCTACCTAGAAGCCAGCCCACTTGCTTCCCTCAGCCTCTTGCTCATGGATCTCCTGTTCCCGACACCTATGCTGACCTTCTCCACCATTGGATATGGTACCATAGTCTTCCTCCCGACATCCCTCTCTCCCTTGCTCTTGTACATTTTCCTAGAACATGAATCACCCTCTCACTTGTCCTTCTTTCTTCATTTCTTGTGTGTGTATTTCCAACTCCACAGAATGGAAATCTTTGTTTTTTCATTGACGTATCCCAAGAGGCTAAAACTGTGCTTGGCACATAGCAGTTGCCTAACAAAGAGTTGCTGACTTGAATAAACTAATAAAAATAAAAATCACGCAATATTTCTGGGAGTAACTACATTTATTGGTCTTTTTATGTGCCAGGAACTCAGCTAAGAGACATAGCTACATGATTTATCTCATTTGGTCCTCACCAATAACTGTGGGACAGATGATCGTTTATACAACTTCTATATAAGAAAAGAAAAAGAAAATTTCATAACTCATAAAAACTCAGAGGTTCTGGACTTTGAATCTGGACTCTTGACGGCTACTTTGAACTTCTAGAGAAGTCGGCCGAGTGGGTTCTTCAGGGACACTGTGTGCTCTTGTACCTTCTCCTGAAGAATAGGGCAAGAGTTGGAAAAATTTTCAATAGAGGTATGATAGAATCAACTTATGTTTTACAAGGAGTATGGTAGGTTGAATGATGTAGTCCCACCCCCAAATCTGTGAATGTGTTACCCAAAGGGGTTTTGCAGATGTGGTTAAGATAAGGATCCTGTGATGGGGGAATTGTCTTGAATTATTTCGGTGGGCCCATGTAAACATAAGAATTAAACAGGAGGGTCAGAATCACAGAGAAAAAATGTGAGCTTGGAAGCAGAGGTTGGAGTGATGCGCTTTGCAGGTGCAAGAAGGGGCAGGTGTGGAGGAATGTGTGCAGCCCCTAGGAGCTGGAAAACACATGGAAACTGATTCCTCCCTAAAACTTTCAGGAAAAATATCGACTTTCTGACACCTAGATTTTGATCCAGTGAAACTGATTTTGAACTTCTTACCTTCGCAATTAGAAGATAATAAATTGGGGTGTTTTAAGACACTTAAAGTTGTGATAATTTGTTAGAGCAGCAATAGGAAACTATGACACAGAAGTTCCTCCTATTTCTTGAAATTAATAGGAAATTGAAAAAAAATGAAAGGCTAAAGGATCTATTATATGCAGTCACAGACACATATCTTCATCCATTCAGTCTTTGTGCATCTCCACCAAGTCTCTTCTAGAAGGTATAGATATAAAAATGAATAAGACAGGTTCTCTGTCTTCTCCAGGGGGCAGGATAATTTCAGATATGTGTGTGTTTGACCAATACCCATTAATGAATTAGCTTTAGGAATTGAGTTAAATTCTAGAATGTGTTAAATTAGAAGGAACCAAATTTATACCAGCCCATTTTCTTTCTTTTTTCTTTTTCTTTTTTTTTTTTTTTTTTTTGGTACCAGAGATTGAACTCAGTGGTACTCAACCACCGAGCCACATCCTCAGCCCTATTTTGTATTTTATTTACAGACAGGGTCTCACTGAGTTGCTTAGTGACTCTTTCTTGCTGAGGCTGGCTTTGAACTCTTGATTCTCCTGCCTCAGCCTCCCAGGCCACTGGGATTACAGGAGTGTGCCACCGTACCCTGCAACACCAGCCCATTTTCTGAAGACAGTTTTTCTCCCCCATGTGGTTCCCAGCACCCTTTCCCAGTTGGCTCACCCTGACTTCACAGTTGGGTGTGCAGAGCCTGATTCCTCACATGACCTCTCTAGTCACCACCCACAGTCCAGAAGGCTAAGGGAACTGATAATGCCGCTTACTGATAAAATGCATTAGACCCAGGGCATTTTCCGATGCTCATTCTAACTTCGAAAGATTAGAATAGACCCAAAAGCCCATCAGAGAGGAACTTAATTTCAGAGAAAGTTCAGGCTGGTGTTACCTCAGTGGGAGGGGAAAATGTTAGAGGAGGAAAACTATAACACATTCAACACAACTGGCCTCCGATGGAAGGGCTCCAAACAGATTCGAGTGGTTGTGATCAGGGTCTAATATCGAATGTTAAAAAAGAAAAGAAAGGAACAGAAGCCTGTCTTTCAGAATAAGCCAGGTTTAAAGAAACAGATAATGAAACCCACTTTGAGGAGGTGGCAGTGACAAGACCCTGACACACAATTTAGCAGGTCTTTAAAGGCTATTTAATGGAGAGGGCAAACTGCTGATTAGCAGAAAAGCAAGATGGTGTGTGGAGAGTGGGGAGAGAACTTGACAGCAGGAGCTCAGGGGAGAAGCCATGCAGAAAGTAAAGGACAGGGTTGTAGTAGACAGGACTCCAGAATGGTGGAAATAGGGGGTGGTTTAAATATCCTACAGGGCAGGGAAAGACCTTGCAGCTTCTACTTATTATGTTGCCTATGGCTTAATGTACCCACAATCTTATCCCAGGTGCCTACTATTCAGAGTCACAGGGAAATTCTTTCTCATCCATCTCCGGATGTGAAGGAACATGAGTCATCTTTCTCGTGGGCCACGGACAAGGCAGGTTTCACACTGTAACCTCACCACTATGCAGTTTCCCCTCCCATGTAGACTGTTTTCCTTGGAAAGAGAGATAGAAGAGCAGCCCATCTCCTCCCTGGATGACCCTGGCTTGGTGGATCGGGCTGCAGAGTTCACAATAGCACTACTCAAGGTGAGGATTCGGTGAGAGGGCAGGGAAGGGTGGTGGGCAGAGGGCTGGGTTCTCCATCTTGTGGTTGTACATCTACTCTTGACACCACCCTACCCTCTGTGGAGCAAGAGGGGCTTTTATCTGGACTGCCATAGGCTGGCATGTTCAACGTTAATAGCTATCTTTTCTTTGCCCTGGTAAAGGTTAAATTGCATGATCCCCAGAACAATGCAAATAGAGAACCTCCTTGGTGACATGAAAGTTTTTTTTTCCCCCAAGTGCTTGAGGTTTTTCTGACAAAAATATCATGAAATAAGAAAGTCGGTTTTTTTCCTTCTATAGTGAAGAATGCTGTCAAATGAGGATTGACTTGGACTCTTTAAGCAGATGGTGTCATCCTGAAATCCTGAGACACCCCTTGAACTTCTTCCTGTTGAGTACTTGAATCTGAATGCAAAGGTGGCCCTGGAAGATGCGTGAAGACAGCACTTTGGAAGGCGGTTAGTTTAGGGCTGCCAAAGTTCGGCCACATGCTGAGCTAGCTCAGAGATAGAAACCCAAGTGGAATTGGCTTTCCCCCTCTTGGCATCCTTTAGAGTTGATAAGGAGTTAAGCTAGGTTTGTTTGTCACCTCCCAACGCAGTCCTAACTTGGGAGAGGGTTTAGTTTCACAAAAGCCAATTTAGAACAAGCAGCATTGCATTTATAAAATAACAGTCCCTTTAGACTTGGGTCATCTCAAAGATTCAATTTCAAGAGTGTTTTAGTGTAAACACATTTCTTAGATTTCCTAATGCCAGTTAATATCGTCCTTTGGGGAGAAACAAAATGTGCCCAAATAAAATAGCAGTAAATGCCACAGAGAAATTCTCATAGAACATAAACTGTTGCAAAAAAGATAAATGGATTTTTACTATCAGTTTTGGCCAGAGGTTCAGCAAAGATAGTGCAAGATAAAGGAAGACATAGATTAAATCTTAATACTTTTGGTTAAAAGAGGTTCAAAATTATTTGCAATAAACTCTCCACCTTCATGAGGGAGGCAACTGTGGCGTGTGCTCTTTCATATGCCACTTGGGCATATCTTCGCATATCTTCAGTCAGTACTGATCACAAGGGAGCAGGTTATCACTGTAATGGCTGATGTTTTTGCCTCTTCCCTCTATGGTCTCTTCAGAAAAAAATGGGGCATGGCT